TTTCCCCTTTTGTGCGCTCTGATTCACAATGTGACAATATATATATCATCTTTCAACTGACCGGCCCCGGGTAAATTCAGAGTTATTAATAACTCAATTTCTCTGCTTGTAATTTGTACAGGGGACTCTGGACCCGCTTTCCACCGGGTGATGCTCCCCACCAATAGATGGAGCTGCTCCCCAGGTGCTAGCGGTGTCTGCTCGTACCAGCACCACTATCACTGGCGGGGTTGTTTGTTCAAAAAAAAAAAAAAAAAAAAAAAGTCTGTGTTTCAACAATTCATGCGTGTACCAATTGAGATTGGCCATCCTGTCCGTTCGGATGCTAACGAAAACATAAGCATCCAGAGAGTGAAAGAGAGCGAGGGCACCGGATAGGATGGGATCGCGACAATCGAGAGGGAAGGGATCGCGGCAATCGAGAGGGAGACGAGTGACTATGGGCCTCGCTCCACTACTCACCAAATGCATGGCGGTGTATCATCCCATGTTCTAGCGGAAGATTCATTCTCATTCTCATTTTGAAAGTTTGGTGAGTAGTGGATCGAGGCCCTATGTCGTCACGGTGACGTGGCAGCGAGAAGGTTGATCAACACCTCAGAGGAAGTACACGTCAGCATCGTAAATGCTGACGTGGCAGCAGGGAGCGCTGCGGCATGGCAGTGAGAAAAGACAGGTGGCGGGTGCACAGCTGCCCATGGATCGACAATTGGCACACAGCTCCTGTCCATGCCTGACAATAGAGAGGTATGTGGGAAATAGAGAGATCAAGTGCTTGAGGAGGTGAGATAAGAGGAGTACATACACGTGGCATGATTCTTTCTTGTCCTCTTTAAAGGGAAAGGAAAAGGACTCCTGGTGACCCACTGCGCAGAGAGGAAACGGTAACAGACGAATGTTCAAGTGGGAGGGCGATAAGAGGGAGGCAAGGCCAAAGCTGTAAATGAGTAAAAAAAAATCAGATGTGGAACGAAGATTGGCAGAGAGGAATCGAGAGGTAGTGTTCAAATATGAAATACGTAATATATAGGCGTATACATATATTATAAACCGTAGGCAGAGAGAGAGAAGAGGACAACAAACGAGGGGCTGTGACAGACTGTTTGGTCGGAGTTACGCCGACTCATGAGGAGGCTGATATACAGTATGTATCATCAGACAGGTAATTGCTCGGTCTGCTGTAATCCGATTTCCAATCCCATCTCTCTNTTACGCCGACTCATGAGGAGGCTGATATACAGTATGTATCATCAGACAGGTAATTGCTCGGTCTGCTGTAATCCGATTTCCAATCCCATCTCTCTTCTCTCTTCTCTCTTCTCTCTTCTCTCTTCTCTCTTCTCTCTGTACATATCTATATACGTATATATACACAGCCCCTCGTTCGTTGTCCTCTTTTGCCTCTCTGCCAACGGTTCACCGGGTATGGATCGTCATGGAGAACTGCCCGGTGAATCGTTGGCAGAGAGGGAGAAGAGGACAACGAACGATCGATCACCTATGAATATGCATCAGCATAGAGAATTGCCCGGTGAACCGTTGGCAGAAAGGGAGAAGAGGACAACGGACGAGGGGCTGTGTATATCTATGTATATGCGTATGCACACACACACACACACACACAC